GGCTTTCTGCTCCTGTAAAGATTTACAGCCTCAGAAACCCTGTACAAGGTCGCTATGGGTCAGAATCGACTCAATGGCACTTAACAACAACCTTTAAATAATGCAAATTTTCCATCACTGTAATTCTAAACTCAGTAGTCCATAAGCAATAACCACTCCTCCACTTCTGTCTATGGTAATTATTAATACACTTTGCTCTCTGCATTTGCCTTTTCTTGTCTTTTTAACTGAGACCAAACAATATTTGTTCTTTTGTGATTGACTTATTTCACTTAGCAAAATTTCAAGTTCTATCCATATTGTAGCATATATTAAGACTTAATTTTTCTTACTAGAGCTGAGTGGTATTCCACTACATGCATGTACCATGTTTATTCATTCTTCCGTTGATGAACACTTAAGTCATTTCCACCTTTTGGCTATTGTGTCTAGTGCTGCAATGAACATTGGTCTTCCAGTCTCTGTTTGAGTCTCTGCTTTCAAGACTTTAGGTATATATGTAGGGGTCGAAGTGTTAGATCATACGGTAGTTTCATTTTTAGTTTTGTGGGGAATTGTACCATTTTGCATTCCTACCAGCAATGAATAAGTGTTCCAAATTTCCCGTACCCTTACCCACATTTGTTAATTTCTGTGAGTTGTTTTCAGTTTTTCATTCTTAGCCATTCTAGTGGAAATGAAATGGTATTTCATTGTAGTCTTAATTTGCATCTCTCTGATACCTAAGGACATTGAGCATTGTTTGGTGGCTATCTGAATGTCCTCTTTGATGAGACTTCTATTTAAGTCCTTTGCCCATTGTTTGATTTGATTATTTGTTTCTTCTAGTTAATTTGCTTTATATATATCTTGGTTATTAGATTCTTTATTGTATATACGGTTTCCAAAAATATTCTCATAGTTGGTAGCTTATCTTTTTACTTTTTTTGCTAAAGTGTTTTTGATGACAAAATTTTTAATTTTTCATGAGGTCCCATTTATCTCTTCTGTCTTTTGCTGTTTGTTCTTTTGTTATATTTGATAGTGCACTGTTAAAAGCTAGGCCAGCAGCATTGCCCCTGCATTTTCTTCTAGAAAATTTATGGGTTTAGTTTGTACATTTAGGTCTAAACTTGCACTTTCAATAAAACCTGACGTATCCCCTTCATCCTACACTTGGAGGAGTTATTATTTGGACTCAAATCTTGGCTTTATTTTTATTACCACTGAATATTATACTATTGGGTTTATTTTCATTGCTTCAATCTATGGACACTATGGGGAGTCTTGATTACATTTTGCATCATGTTTTTCACCACCACAGCACAGTATCAGGTTCAGATAAAAGAATGTCCTTTATATTCCCTGGACCCAACATTGTTGCTTTGTTTGAGCAAGGCCTTGGGGTAGTTTCCTTCCATTTAGAGCTTACAGGTTTACCCAATTATTATTCCATTCAAATGTCAAATGCATACAGAAATGACTCAAATTTGCCTTTCTGATCTTATATCCTAGAGGAGACAGCATGAACTTTGGAATTCTACAAACTAAATATTGGCTCTAACAATTACCAGTGACATGATTTTATAAGTGAACTAGGACAGTAATTCTAACAAGCCACAGTTTGTAAGGATCAGTCAGGTTGTTCCGTTCCATTCTTCACCCCAACCATCAAAGAAATAAAAGATATGGTTTTTTATGATGCACCAGTTCTTTGTTAAGTCCACCCACACCTCACAGGTCTGATTGATTATTGTTTTCTCCTGCTGACAAATGTGTTTGATAAATGTTTTAACCTCTTTCTCATTGTATTTTTGTGCTTAAATTGCTATGGTTTTTAGAATCCACTTTCTCTCCTTGTATAAATATTTGAGTGACTTTCCATTTTCTGTTTCTCCCAGTTTTTGTAGATCTATTTGATTTCGTAGTAGTGGTTTAGTGATGTTGTTGTTGTTAAGTGCCGTCCAGTTGGTTTCGACTCATAGTGACCTTGTCTGGGATTTCCAAGGAGTAGCTGGTGAGTTTGAACCTCCAACCTCGCAGTCCAGTGCATTAACCCAGAATGCTACAACCAGGACTCCTTAGTGATCTTACTTTTGTATATTTTCTGAACAACTTTGGTGAAAACTCATTTGGTTTAGGAGACTTTAAGTAATTTCAGAAACTTCTTGAATTCTCTTTACATACCTAGGGATGTTATCCTTTGTCAACATGTTTCTCCTTCCCCTTTTCCACAAAGATCAGTCTTTGATAAAGAATGCAAAAGTGGGGTTCATTCTAATTCCCTAGGTTGATGTTGTTAGCCCCCCACTCATGGTTATTTTTGTTATTTAGTACTGTTGAGTTGGTGCTGACTCATAGAGAACTTGTATAGGATTCCCAAGGAGTGGCTGGTGGATTTGAACTGTCAGTCTTTTGCTTAACAGTCCTGTGCTCATCCTACAGCACCAAACCAGGACTCCAAACATGGTGACCTTACACATAGCAGACAGAAATCACTGCCTGGTCCTGAACAACCTCTGTGATTGTTACTCCTCTGTCTCAATACCTGAGAATTCATGTGCTGTAAACCTATGTTTTCTTGAACAATCATTTGTGTGTATATGTGTGTATGTGTGTGTGTTTTGGCATACTAGAATAAAGGTATTTATTTTCTGCAATGTCCTTCATTTTTTGCACACTGCTTCTCCTATTAATAAATATGCATTCATGTGGCCCCTTTGCTATAATCAGTGATCCAATATTGATAATGTTATGATCAGCTAAGTTTCATAGTTTACATTAGGTTTCACTCTTCGTGTTTGCACAAAGTCCATAGATGGTACAAACAGTGAAACACTTTACTACTAGCTAAGTATCTGGCAGTTCAAACCCACCCAAAGGCATCTTAGAAGACAGGCTGATGATCTGCTTTCAAAAGGTCATGCATGAAAACCTAAGGAAGCAGTTTTTGTCTGCACACATGGAGTTGCTATGAGTCAAGACTGACTTGATGGCACCTAAGCAGATTATGCTATATAGTTCTATGGATTTTGACATACGCACAATGTCTAGTAATCAGCATCATAATATCAAGGAGAATAGTTTCACTGCCCTAAAAGTGCACTGAGCTTCATCTGTTCATTCATCAATCCTCCCCACCCCACCACTGAATCCTTGTCAAGCGCAGACCTTTTTACTGTCTCTGTATATGTAGTCTGGTATGGCATTGTAGGATAAGCACTGGGCTGCAAGGTCAGCTTGAACCACAAGGTTGGCAGTTCAATCCCACCAGCCACTCCTCAGAAATCCTATACAAGGTTGCTATGAGTCAAAACTAACTCAATGGCACACAACAATAATTTTGAGGATGATTTTTAATTGTCTGTTTTTTGAGAGAGAGATTTATAATCCTCTTTATCTCTCCTTTGAGAATCTTTTTTTTTTTTCCTAGAAAGAATAAGACTTTGTTTTTTTTCTTCTGAAGCTTTGTTATCTACTCTTGTAAAATCAAGACTAAGAAGGCCAGGTGGCACAATGGTTAAGTGTTCAATGGCAAGTTGTATCCATCTTGGGGATCTATAGGAGAAAGACCTGGAAATCTGCGTTCATTAAGATTTCAGCCAAGAAAACTCTATGGGGCAGTTCTATTCTGTCACCTGGGTTTGCTGTGAGTAAAGAACCAACTCGCTGATACCAAACAGCAACAACAAAGTTAAGAAATCGGACTGCGAACTTTAAGGTCAGCGGTTCGAAACTATCAGCCGCTCCGCAGGAGAAAGATGAGACTTTCTACTCCCGTAAAGATTTACACCCTCGGAAACCCTGTACAGGGTCGCTATGGGTCGGAACCGACTCGACGGCACTTAACAACAACAACAACAACATAGAGGAACTATGAAGCAGAGTCTACTCAATGGCAGTGTGTTTGGTTTTTGTTTTTCATTGCCAAGTAATTCTTAAAAACAGGCAGCTATCTTTGTATGGGTGCTTCCAAGGAAACAATTTAAGTGTTTTATCTGCTTATTAGTATTGCTCAGTATTCAATAATGTTCCAGAGATGGAGTAAATCATATTTCATTATTCCACAACTAGGATCTTTCCACATAAAACTTCTTCATGGTTCTTCAGGGATATTAATAAATACCTCTCTGAAAGTTGCTGTTGGCTAAACCCTCTGGGTTTTTTTGAATCTTGCCAAGAGAATGTTTGTCTTCACTTTAACACACAGTATGATTCCTGAGTGGGCTATATGTAGGAAATCAGCTTGGATTTGATTCCTTGATCACATTTTGAAAAGGACCAGCCTCAGGAGCATTTCTAAATAAAACCACACAACAAGAAGAGGAAGGATAGAGTGTAGGTCATTTTAGTGAAACCCTATCTCATTTCTCCTTCTTTTAATTTGTTTGTTCTGTGTGCCAGATGGGAGAAAATCAAAAGGCAGGCTTCCATGTCACATCTTTTTCTTTTCCTTTGGTAACTGGAGATCTGTTGACTGGCTGCTCATTGCTTGTCCCCTCCCTCTCTACCCATTTCTTTCAAGTCAAAGATGGTGCATGTGGCCATCTCAAGTCTGATGTACAACTGTGTCAGAGATAAGCAGATTCTGTAGCAAACAAATATTTGAAATACCTTGTGATTTATCTACACTGGACAATTTTTGTTGTTGTTGTTGTTTGTTTCTGGTGGTGTGTTTTTCACTTCAGCTGTTTCTTAGGATTAGCAAAACAGCATACATCTTGTTTCATCACTGCCTTGATTTTTAGTGTGGTGCCAAGCAAATCACAGATTAACATATGCTTATTTGGGATTAAGGATGATTTAAAAAAAAACAAAAAACTCCTCTGATAGCAAGAGAAAGTACAAACAGTTCAATGGATTCCATTGATGGATTCTAAGAACTAACATTACCCACACTTCCTAAATTCATTTTAAAAGTTTCAATTTCTACAATCTTCAGGTTATACTTCTTAGAAGTCAAACACCAAACAGCAGTAACTACTGTTTTACCCTGTTTTTGTTTGTCTCTGTGATGACAGTGCTGCATATGATTGCTCCCTGGGAAGAAAGAGGAGAGGTGAGGAGCAGGCTCTGGGTGTTCCGGTCAACAAAAGGAAATCACTGCTAATGAAGCCCCGTCACTACAGCCCCAACATGGGCTGCAAGGAAGAGAATGAGGAAAGGATCCAGGCTGAGGAGGACAATCATCTCTTGCAAACAGATGACCACTCCATTGCAGGTAGCAAGGAAGAGGGATCAACAGTGTATCTGTTCCCTGACACAAGAGACATTACATACTTAATTTATGTAGAACGTAGGGTTTTTGTATGGTTGTAAAAGTATATTCCTGTTTGGAAGTAACATTTTGAATTCTGTTTTGAATTTTATTGATTTCGCTCAATATTAATTACTGAAGGCTCTTTTTTTTAATCAGACAATGTGCGGGGTGCAAAAATAAAGAACACTGAATCTTGCCACCAGCCTATTTTCCAAACCAACAGAATAGAGTTATGACTTCTTATGAAGAAAAGAAAAGATGCTAAGACATAAAGTTGAAAAATACCTGGATTCCATAATAGGATGGATGACAAATTCTTGAAGGAGCCCTTCAAAGCCAAACCCAAAACCAAACTAAATCACAGTCATGCAATTGATTCCAATTCATAGCAACCTTTTAAGAACAGAGTGGAGCTGTGAATCTTTTGGAAGCACATTGCCACATCTGTATGCCACAGAGCTGCTGGTGGGTTAGAATCACTGACCCCTCAGTTATTAGCTAGGCTCTTTAACCACTGTCCCACTAGTGTTACTCCAAAGTCATAGGGCTTATTTAAGCTTTTAGATCTCTTTGTGTAAATCATGTCCTATATAAAGTGATTACTAAAATCTTTCTTATTTGTTTTATCAAAATAAATAGGAATATTCTGCCAAACAAAAAATAGTGCAACATGAATCAATGTTGGTAGGGAGTCTGAATTTAATATTTTTTCCTATAGTTTTTAAATAATTATAGCAATAGGCTCTAGATTGCAAACTGAAAAACTACAGTAAGAAAATGCTACATTAAAGGAAATCTGTGGATATGCCCATTATTTCTAAAATAAGAGTTCTGGTGTGATGCTGTGGGTTAATGCATTAGAACATGAGGTCGGTTTGAACGGCAAGGTCAGCAGTTCAAATTTATCAGTCCCTCCTTGGAAATCCTATGCAGGGCTGCTGTGAGTCAGAACTGACTCAATGGCACTTCACAACAACAACAATTTCTAAAATAAAAAAGTTTTCAGTGCACATTACCATTTCATTAGTTCATTTATTCATTCTCTCACCACACACTGCTTGCTGGCCACCTACAATGTAATGACCATTTCACAAGCTTTAGGATCTATTTCCCCCAGTTCACAAGTATTCCTGTTAGTTCCTGTTAGCTACATTGCTAAAAAACGAATGTCTCTGACCACTTTATGGATGAGGCTGCAACTAGAGGACATGAAAAATGCCTTAAAAATTTGTGAGAGGCATAAATAAATGAAGATCTAAAGTTTGACTTACTAGAAATAAGTTAGATGAAGGCATGTTCTATTAAGTTTATAGAATATCTTGTCAACCTAAGAGAAATAAATATTATACTAGCAAAAGATAAGTAGGTTCTTAGATGATAAAGATTTAGTATGTAGAATGATAATAATAATAAATGTTAATAAAAAATGATGCAAGAGCACACTAACAGGTACTGATCTCACATCAGAATGATCATATCTTCAGTAATTGGGGCTTGGGGAAAGCCTGAGGTTCTGTAGTTAAAACAAAGTTTTATTGTGATTTAACTGTATTTAAGTATGTTTTTTTACCTTTTCTATCTCTATCACATTGCTTTGTGCATATTGGTCATCCTTGGCTTTTTGGATTTCTTTGAAGCTGATCAATTTCATTTTTTTATTCATGAAAATTGCAGATTGACTTGAATGTTGGGAAAGATCTCGAATCAGTATGTTTAGACTTGGAGTGTAATTCACCTGATGTTGGTGATGGTGGTGTGACGGGGAGTCAGTTCTGACTCATAGCAACCCTGTATAGGGTTTCCGAGGCTGTAAATCTTATGGGAGCAGAAAGCCTCATCTTTCACCCACGGAGCAGCTGGTAGTTTTGAATTGCTGGCCTTGTGGTTAGAAGTCCAACTTATAACCACTATGCTAAATAATTCACCTAGCTGATACAATTAGCCATATATTTGAGAAAATGACCATGCTTGCATCGTCATATTCTTGTAAACACCATGAAGACAAGAATAGTATCTAGCCTGCTGATTCTCAGCTTCTGCCATAATGGCCTGATTATCATAGATGCCTAATATTAACTGCCAGGGTCTGACCTCAACATAGTTGTGTTGTTCACGAGTGTTTGGTTCACGAGGAGGGGAGATCCAGCGGCGATAGGGATAGCGAAAGAATACACAGACAAACAGAAGGAGGGAGACAGTGAGGCACCCCAAAGCCAGGGTGGATACATCACTGGTGGGCAG